GCAAAACTATTGAACACACAACAGGAAGAAGTTGTATTGAAAACTTCACATGAATAAATATTAAAAACATTCTTAAACTCTCCACAGTACAACAAATAAAGTATCAAAAAAGTGAAATGCAGTATATCAGCTGTTCCAAACATAAAAACAGAAAAAAATAACTCTTTTACACTTGATGTCTTGGCAAAAAGCCCTTAAAAAGAAACTGACTGTAAATGAGTGTTTGATGTGTTTCTAACATGTGTGATTTACAGATTCGATTTAAATGGGGAATCAAGATCACAATGACCTTTGGCCCGGATCATATGAAACGACACAATACTCCATTGTCCAAACGCTTGAGAAAATCTATTTAAATCATTACAATTTTGTAATGAGATTTTGGTACCATCATCTTCATCACCAAAAACTAATCGAAAATCTGACTGACATGATTAAACGCTGTACATCCCAGGATATTACTTGACGTTTAAAGCATAAATTATGTAAAAAGTAAAAATTACTAAAAATAAATGCAACTCTTAATGTTTATAAACTGGGCCTGACCTCATCATGCCTGTCAATACATAAAACAGGGCGCATACGGCTTGCAGGGGCACAATTAGTCAATCAACATACGCATAATTTACAGTCAAATCTCACCTAGATATGAGTAACGTGAGCTGTACAAATATATACACACCTCCAACATCATAATATTAAAGTCACGAATAAAAAAACAATAGGTATCTAACAGGATCCGAATGTGATTTGAACCATCAGCGCACTGATGTTCAGCTTCTGTGTTGAGTGATGTAGTTGTGCTTATTGTTTTAATATGACTGTCTGTCCATTAACGAGAGACACACGAATACATATCAGATATTTATACATTTAAAGTCAACATGAACTCAAAACGAACTCTTTTACATATTCCTGGTCTTATTGTGAATAAGGTCCTGTTTTCCTGTTGAATATTCTGTTTGCAAGTCACAAGTTATGGAATGATTGTAAAACCAGTGAATATTCAACATATCGTCCAGCCATAACGTCACATTACGGAAGTACTTGGAACAGATTGTGAACTTCATTTAATGCTGACTTCATCAACTGCACCTTCTCCCTGTATGAAGACAGCAGATACAGGCTTTTCACATTGCGATTAACCCTGGTTATCGTTATTCTAAACACCGGTAAAGGAACGTTTCATACTAGGTATAGGATTAGAACTGCCTTTTACCCGGGGTTATACCGCTTCTGTGCCATTATACCCCATTTGCCGTGCCAAACTTGCGGAGTGTAAAACAATGCGGTGTTAAAATATTACGGCTAGATGCTTAGCAACCGACACCCATTCACGTGATAGTCACGGAAACACCGCACGTTGTATAAACGTCTTTCAGCATTTGAGAAGAAAAATATCAAATGGCGACAGAAACACGTTAATTGGAGTAAAGAAGAGTTTTATTTGTACCTTTATAGTCCAAAAAAGTCAATTCAGGAAAAACTTCATACAGTCGACAATAACATGAGGACACGCAATGCTAAAATGCTCTGGTTACTAACGTAATCTCGGTTCCATGAGATACTGTAAAGGAAACGAGCGTTGCGTTGCTGACGATTATGGGGAAACTTCTGTTTACTCTCATTTCGTCAGAATCTTTCGACTGAAGTGACAGTCATCGTTTCGATTGTAGCCTTATAGCACGGCAGCCTACGCAACGCTCGTTCCCTTATCTCAGGGAACCGAGGTTACGTTAGTAACCGGAGCGTTCCCTTTCAAACGGTCTCTCCAGTTGCGTCGCTGACACTTATAGGGAACGCATCCAATAGCGCCGTGCTATAAGCAAGTGCAGAACGAAGCCGCTCTGCGAGCCCAGCCCTGGAGCAATCGTACTGAGGGCTCCTGTAAGCATGAGCCAATAATGAGACCAAAGCAGCTTAGGCTGAGGACTACATAACATACCCCTCTTCACTTACAATGGGGATTAGGTAGAATTCAGTGAACAGGATCCGTGGGGACGTCCAAGTTATAAAATCCAGTGAAGGTAGACGGCGACGACCAGCCAGCGGCCGCACAAATATCACTAATAGCAATCCCACTGGACCATGCCCAGGAGGAGGCCATTCCTCTAATGAAGTGGGCCCTCACACCTATAGGACACTGCAAGCCCGCTGAGGCGTAAGCCAGGGCTATAGCATCGACTATCCAGTGAGACAGTCTCTGCTTCGTAAGCAGCAGCCCTTTAGAGCGGCCTCCGAAGCACACAAAGAGTGTGCCGAAACGGGCCAGAGCGCTCAACATACACTCTAAGAGCCCGAACCGGGCAGAGGGGATTAGGTCCCTGCTCACCTTCTGAATTGGGGAGCGTGAGGAGGGTGATGACTTGTGCTCTGAACAGAGTGGAGAACACTTTTGGCACATAGCCGTGTCTTGGTTTGAGGACGACTCTACAGTCGTTAGGCCCAAACTCAAGACAGGAAGCACTGACTGACAGTGCTAGCAGGTCATCCACTCGCTAAAGCCAGATGGAGGGCGGTCTTAAGCGACGGGGGCCGTAAGCCGGCCAACTGGCACGGCTCAAAGGGAGGACCTCGAAGGGCTATAGATAAGTCCTAATTCGGCACAGTATGAGGGCGAGGCAGATTCAATCTCCGAGCTCCCCTCAGAAACTTAACGACTAGGTCGTTTCTGCCGACTGACTGGCCAACATGATTCGCCGCGAAGGCTGTCACATATACTTTGAGTATGGTAGGGGTGTGCCCCATATCCAGCAGCTCTTGTAGAAAGGTCAGCACGTAGGATACGTCGCACGATGACGGATCCTTGTTCCGTGCTGCACACCAATCAGAGAAGACTGACCATTTAAGGGTGTAAATACGTCTTGTAGACGGAGCTCTAGCCTCTAAAATGGTATTATTCACACTCGCAGAGAGCTGCAAAGGCTCCCGTTGATGGGCGAAACATGAAGGCTCTACATCTCTGGACGAGGTGGCAAATCATGCCCTTCACTTGCGAGATAAGGTCCTTCCTCAGTGGTATTGGCCAAGGGGCTTCCGATAGCAGCTGGATCAACTTGGGTAACCACACCTGATTCCTCCAGTGTGGGACCACCAGGAGGAGTGAGCATCTGACTTCCCTGACCTGTCTGATGACCTGAGGAAGCAGGGCAACTGTGGGGAAGGCATACAGGCGAACGCTTGGCCAATCGTGGGCCAGGGCATCTCACTGCTTTGAAAAATATATTGGGCAGTGAAAGTTGCCTTCTGAGGCGAAGAGGTCCACCACTGCCCTGCCAAAGACAGACCAGATCATTTGAACCGTTTGGGGATGTAGTCTCCATTCTCCTGGAGCCACATTGACCCTGGACAGCATGTCTGCCCCTTGGTTCAGTCTGCCTGGCCCATGGACTGCTCTCAGCGAGAGGAGTTTGCCGAAAAATTCTGAAAAAAAATGGCGCTCAGAGCCAACTTATATAGCGGTCAGCTCCTCCCCTTTCGGCAGGTTGAAGCACCATTGGTTCGTGCAGGTACACGAACGTGAACAAATCAGGCTTAAACAGTAGCAGTAAACAGGAGCTTCCCCATAAGCGTCAGCGACGCAACGGGAGAGACCGTTCGAAAGGGAACCATGTTAACAGGTCACGTGCTGCGTTCGTCCAATCAGCAACACTGACACCGCAAATATGCAAATCAGAACCTTAACCAAGGATTTAGGAATGTGCAGTGAAACGTGAAAGGAGATAACCCAGGATTGACTCAGACTTAACTATTTCAAGTGTGAAAAGCTCTAATAAGACATCATGATTATGAGTTAAGGTGCGGTCATGTTACGTTGCTCAGCGAAATTTTGCGGCAAAATCCAGTCATTTCAATAGGAATCCACGAGATTGGAAGTTTCGCGTGAGGGTGAAAAGTTTCTCACAGATTTCACTCAGGTTTACGAAGACCCGTACATGGTATGCACAAGAAAAAAATATATAATTATATACATATGCATATTTTTTTCATTCCATCATTTTAATATTAAGAATTCACTCTCTCGTTTTTAGTAAATAGTGGCCACATTGTATTAATTTGTTCCTAAAACGAGATACAAATTAATAAATCATGAGAACCAATTATTTTGTTCTTATTTAATTAAAATGAGGAAACATATTAATAAAGGGAACGAATAAATACCTTATTGTGTCATCTGTCATATATCATGTGCGGGTCTCTGTAAATCAAGTTTGTCACACAAATTTGTTGTGCTGACCAAGAGAAAGCTGCTTGGTTTGAAAGTGACTAATATTTGAACAGTGGTTCATACTATTAACAATGGACAATGTCATTATTGGCTGTGAAGTTTCACTAATGTAACCACATCTTTACAGGACAGAATCAAAAACAACTTGTGTGTTTTTTGTGTGTGGAAGAACTGCCACACATCCATGGCAATAAGCGTGCGCGATAATCATCCCGGTGTGTACGAGGCTTTAAGTCACTTGGGTATATTTTTAGCAATAGCCCAAAAAAACATTGTATGGGTCAAAATTATCGATTTTTTTTAATGCCAAAAATCATTAGGATATTAAGTAAAGATCATGTTCCATGAAGATATTTTGTAAATTTCCTACCGTAAATATATCAAAACTTAATTTTTGATTAGTAATATGCATTGCTAAGAACTTCATTTGAACAACTTTAAGGATGAATTTCTCAATATTTAGATTTTTTTGCACCCTCAGATTCCAGATTTTCAAATAGTTGTATCTCCAAATATTGTCCTATCCTAACAAACCATACATCAATGGAAAGCTTATTTATTCAGCTTTCAGATGATGTATACATCTCAATTTCGAAAAATTGACCCTTATGACTGGTTTTGTGCTCCAGGGTCACAAATAAGCTTCATTTCCTGGAGAACAGAGCACTATGAGAACAGAACGAGCCGAACACGATGACATTAACAGGCCCGTTTTGACTAGAAATGGACTCACGATGAGCTCGCCACAAATAATGTAAAACATTTAATGAAGTTATGTGAGCATAAAGAGGGTGTACAGATCATGACTTACTTTTTTACAGCATTGTGAACACACAGGCCTGCAAAAATCGAGAAAAAGATGATACAGCCCCACTACTTTTGTCTTGGTTAGATATCTAGAAGTCCTTGAAACAAGCAAGCAAGCAAGACTAAAATGTTGAAAGGCAGGTTATTTCTTACCTTTTACAAAACTGACAGGTGTAGGACCAGGTAAAGAAGGAAAACCGTTTCGTTCGGCAGCAGAAGCACAGCTGTGAAAAGAGAAATATCAATGAACTGATACAGTCATACTCAAAATGCACGATATATTTGCAATGACTTTGCTGCCAAAATAAAAACAAGCATATGCAAAAAAAAGCAAAATAAATATGGCAATGATTTTAAAACACTTTATATTTGTCCATTAAGTTTATCTTAAGACAGAGTTGTTTTAATAGTTTCTGATTTGAGTTAAATTTGATCAAATGTCTTTCTGTGGCATTTATCATGTATTCAGTTTTAGTCTTTTGGTAAAAATGTATGCAATATACACACTACTGTTCAAAAGTGTTTTTTTTTAAAATGTTTTTTAAAGAAGTCTCTTCTGCTCATCAAGGCTGCATTTATTTGATCAAAAATACAGTAAAACAGTAAAATTGTGAAATATTATTACAATTCGAAAGAACTGTTTTCTATGTGAATATATTGTAAAATGTAATTTATTTCTGTGATCAAAGCTGTATTTTCAGCATAATTACTCCAGTCTTCAGTGTCACATGATCTTCAGAAATCATTCTAATATGCTGATTTGCTGCTCAAGAAACATTTCTGATTATTATCAATGTTGAAAACAGTTGTGCTGTGCTGGAAACTGTGATGCATTTTATTTTTCAGGATTCTTTCATGAATAGGGAGTTCAAAAGAACAGCATATATTTGAAACAGAAATCTTTTGCAACATTATAAATATCTTTATTGTCACTTGTGATCAATTTAATGCATCCTTTCTAAATAAAATAATTTCTTCTAATACAATTTTTACTGTAGTTTACTTAATGCATTAAACTTTTTCTGTCTGCTTGATTGCAATGACTTTTGATGACATGCTGCTTCCTCTGAACGGTTGCTCTAAACAATAAAAGCAGTTCCCACCTTCCCCTTCTTCATGGCATTGTAGATGTCTTTGTACTGCTGAAATTTCTCCAGTTCGGCTTCGACAAGAACCTGCCGAATGTGCATCACTTCCTCCACTGTCAGAGCCAGACACTCCACTGGGAAACAAAACTCCTCCTGTCCAAACATCCACCAGACGTCAGCAGACACAAAGCTACAGCAGCGATAGCATACTAACTTGCTACGACAGAAAACAGCCATAGTGACAGAGGATGACGTTTGTAAATTTACATTTACTATTTTTGCTTTTGTTAATTGTATAATAAAATTAAAAGAAAACAGATAGAATACAAAAAGATTAGAAAGCAAATGAATAGAGTGCAAGTCTAAAAGGGACAAGTGTTTTTTTTTTTTAAGAATAGAATTAGAATAGAGAGTGCTAGAGTTAGAGGGTCAAATAAAGATGGAAGAGATGTGCTTTTAGCCAATTCTTGAAGATAGCTAAGGACTCCTGCTCGGATTGAGTTGGGCAGATTATTCCACCAGAAGGGAAAATTTAATTTAAAAGTCTGTGAAAGTGATTTTGTGCCTCTTTGAGATGGCACAATAAAGCGACGTTCACTTGCAGAACGCAAGCTTCTAGAGGGCACATAAGTCTGAAGTAATGAATTTAGGTAAAGGGGTGCAGAGTCAGTGGTGGTTTTGTAGGCAAACATTAATGCCTTGAATTTTATGCGAGCAGCTATTGGTAGCCAGTGCAGATTGATAAACAGAGGTGTGACGTGCATTCTTTTTGGCTCATTAAAAATTAATCTTGCTGCCGCGTTCTGGATTAATTGTAAAGGTTTGATAGAACTGACTGGAAGACCTGCCAAGAGAGCACTGCAATAGTCCAGCCTGGACAGAACAAGAGCTTGAACAAGGCTTTGTAAATGTCACCCATTACTTCCTCACTTACTAAGGATTTTGAGCTGTGTCTGGAGGGCGGCAGGAAGTGACGCACACTGGTGGGTGTTTCCTTCTCGATGGAGTGCCGGCGCTGGGTGAGCTGACGTCTCTCCGGCTGCGGCGTGGACGAGATGGGCAGGAACATGGGCGGAGCTGAGAGAGAGAGGACGATAGAGACTCTATTTATCAATGTTATCAATCAAACTGACAGTTTTTAAAAATGGAATATTTAAAGATGTACATTATACTGTACAAAAGTAATACACGAGTAATATATTTCTGTAACATGTTAAACCGTACTTTTATTTTGACAGGTTGCCATGAAGTTTCTGTGTGTATACAGCATGATGATGCTAGTTTTATCAAATGAAACAGTAAAATTCTCGCGAAGCAGCTCTGGAGATTAAGTTTTTGTGTTCATGCCGTCATATAGTAAGACGCAGAGGACGAAAACCACCGCGAGCGTCACGCGTGCTTCATTATTTGTGTAGTAAACAAAACCGCGTTTCCGCCATTCATACATACAGAGGCAAGCGGAACATGCAGGATTCATATTTAAACCATCTTTTTGCATTTTAATATTCACAGACACTAGTTCATATCGCAATTCAAATTAAGTGGCAGTGGCTACTTTTGATTTATTCGTCCAAAATTGACGAATTCCGTGGCATTCCGCGCTACAGAGTAAATTACGTTTTTATGAATGGACTCCACGATCCCGTCCGTGTTTTCGCAGAAACCATATGGCCCTAGAAATTTAACCACACTTCAGAACATTTCGGCTTGCCCTGTGTGTTGTTTGAACGAGTTGCAGGGGTGACCTCACGTCACAGGTTCTATGTTTCTCTCTCTGTAGCGTATGCGCCCAGATGCGTTCTCAGGTACCGAAATTTGGCACCGATTGATTTAACGTGAATCGGTGCTCGATAGTACCGACGCAATTCGGTCGGTACCCTTAAAAGTACCGAGTTCGGTACCCAACCCTATAAATGAACACTTGCTTTAGTTTGCAAGCCAGCAAAAAAGGCCATAAAACATATCTTGCCAGTCGGCTTGGTAACTTTATTAAGAGCTGGAACATAATAAATGCTTTAAATCAGTTTGTGAAAATTATAATCTGGACCCAGACATAAAGTAGAGGCCTGTTGACTGTACATTATCCTTCTCATTTTACTCAGGAACTAATAAAAATAAATGGACATTAAATATAGATTATTTATTTATTTTAAATTTAATTTAAAAGAGAAGAGAGGATTAAGTAATATGAGCAGAGTTATTTTAGTATTATTTATAATTATTAATATATTGAATTAGCTTTTTTGTTTTCAGTTTAAATTTGGTAATTTTTTTGTTTTTAATATTTGAAATTTATCTATTTAGATTTATTGTATTTTTATTAGTTTCAGTAATTATGTACTTCAACTTCAAACTTTATATAAGTTTATATTTTTACATTTTAATTTTTCGTTTTAATTAAAAATTTAGTAATCTTGTCATGTGGTTTTGTATCTTTTTTATATTTCTATACAGCTTTAATTTATTTTTATTTTGGTTTTAGTCATTGTTCATCTTATATTATTTCAGTTAGTTGCCAAAGCAACATTTCTATTTTTTTCTGCAAGTTTTTCATCTAGTATTTATATTTTATTGTATTTCAGCTTCATTTCAATTACCAAGAAAACATTTTAATTTAAATTAAAAATTTAATTTAAAAAAATTTATCTTGAGGCTCTTGAGGACCACACGAACGACTTTCTGTCCCTGGCTCACCTCACGCACTACCCGGACAACTGCCTCTGCACATTCTATCAAGTTGGACTTAACGCCACCATCCGAGCGCAGTTGTCTGGGGATGGTCTTCGAGAGAGCCTCGCCACCTTCATCGAGTGGG